CAATTAAGAGATAAAACATTGCTACCACAACAGCAGCTTGGGCAGGGGTTTATTTTTAGAAGCTGCTTAAAATAGTGCGTGGTACCTCGTTCAAAAACATCCCCTGCGTGCTGGTACGGGGTGATGCCAGAGCAGTCAGACACTCCTGAGGGACACACACTTCACACCCTCCCCAGGACTCCTGCACAGAACCAAGCTGAGAGAAAACACTGAAAAAAAAACAGGGGAGGAAGCACAACATTGGTCTTAACACCTCCCTGCCAGCGTAGTAAGATGCCAGGGTTTGGAGAGAGGGGTGTAAAGCGATGATTCAAAGCAGATTTTGGAAGTGACAACATTTCCCACTAAAAAGTGAGCAGAACAGGCTCTTTGTGACTTTGGGGAAGGGTTTTGGGTTCTGAGAGCCAACCCTGGGGCTGAAACAAGCTCTGGTGCAAAGTCTTGATTTGAGAAGTCACTGACAAGGAGATGCCACTGACCCTGTGGGACCAGCAGGGATCTGGGGACAGCTTCTGATCTGGCACTGCCAGCACAACCTTCTGCACCGGGGAGTGGTGGCAAAGCAAAGTCACAGGATCACAGAATGTCCTGAGCTGTAGGGACCCACAAGGATCACCCAGTCCAACCCTGTCCCTGCCCAGACCCCCACCAACCCCACCCTGGGCATCCCTGGGGCTCTGGCAGCCTCGGGGCCGTGCCCATTCCCTGGGCAGCCTGGGCAGTGCCAGCACCTCTGGGGGAAGAACCTTTCCCTCAGCTCCAGCCTGCCCTGCCCTGGCTGGCTGTGCCCACCCTGCACCTCCGTGTGCCCTTTTGGGGTGGGCAGCCGTGGGTGAGGACAGGGCTGAGTCCCAGCAAGGTCAGATGTGAAGGATACAAAAGGCCAGAGCTCCGTGGTGTTGAAACAAGAAAAGCTGAATCAAAACCTGAACTCCCCCTGAGCTGGCAATGGGCAGGCCCCACTTTGAGTGCTGAGACCTGTCCTGGGCCCCTCACTGTAAACAGGACCTGGAGGGGCTGGAGCATGTCCAGAGAAGGGAACTGTGCTGGGAAGGGGCTGGAGCCCCAGGAGAGGCTGAGGGAGCTGGGAAGGGGCTGGAGAATCCCTGAGGGAGCTGGGAAGGGGCTCATCCTGGAGAAAAGGAGGCTCAGGGGGGACCTTGTGGCTCTGCACAGCTCCTGACAGGAGGGGACAGCCGGGGGGTCGGGCTCTGCTCCAGGGAACAGGGACAGGAGCAGAGGGAACGGCCTCAGGCTGGGCCAGGGCAGGCTCAGGGTGGGCAGCAGCAGGAATTTCCCCATGGAAAGGGGGTCAGGCCTTGGAACTGCCCAGGGAGGTTTGGAGTGCCCATCCCTGCAGGTGCTCAAATAACAAGACAATAGTCCTACCAACATGGTTCACTGGAATTCAGCCAAAGTTTTAATTGGATGATTTGGAGGAGTTTTCCAACATTTGGGATCTTGTGGCCACAAAAAACTAAAGGGCAAAGAGCAGCCTGTGAGTTTGGAAGGTGAGGAGGACCTGGCTCCATCAGCAATCCTGGCCCCTCAACCCCAACCTTCCCTGGGCAAAGCCCCCTGCTCCTTCAGCCTGGCAGAACCCAAAGCCACCTCCATGATCTGACTGAAGCCCTGCAAGGAATGAAATCCAAAATGGGAGTGAAGGAGCTGGGGCTGATGGAAAATTCCCTCCTGTGGCAGCTCCTGCTGCGCAGCCCTCGCTCCGCACGGATCCATCGGGACAGGCACACGTGCAAGGATCTGTTTGGTGGAAATCCCAGCAGCTTTTCTAGGGATGGGAAACCGCCAGGGCAAGGTGCAGCAAAGAAGTGCCTTGGGTTGGAAATGCAGGATGTAGCTGGGCTGTGTGTTCTGTCCCATCTGTCAGAGCTGGGGCAGGGCTCTGCTGCTCTTTGGGCACTTTTCTTTCTCTCTCCCACAGCCAATCCTCCCTCCAGGAGATCTCTGCTGTTCATGGCCACTGAGTGTCCCTGCCGGGCTGAGAAAATTCCATCATCCATGGGGAGATGCTGCGCCCAGGGGAGGAGCCGAGCATTCCTACCTGGATACAATCTGACCTGGGAACAGCACAGCAGCCTTTGCCCCCTGCATTCCCAGAGGAGCAGCTTTCTTCCCACTGCATTCCCAGAGGAGCCCAGGCCCATCTCCCCCAGCCCTGGAGCTCCAGAGGAAAACTCCCCCCTTGTGCAGGATCCTGCTCCAGCAGAAGCACAGCTGGCACTGCAGGAGGGCTGAGCCCCCCTGGGATGGGGCTGCTGCCACCTCCCTGCCCCACAGGCTGCCAGGGCTGCTCTGACTCTGCCACTGCTTTGTTTGTGTTATTGCATTGGTATTTTTAATTTTCCTAATAAAGAACTGTTATTCTTGCTCCCATATCTTTGCCTGAGAGCCCCTTAATTTTAAATTTATAACAATTCAGAGGGAGCAGGTTTGCATTTTCCATTTCCAGGGAGGCTCCTGCCTTCCTCAGCACACACCTGGCTGTTCAAACCAGGTCAAGAAGTGAGGAGAAAAGCCAGGGACATGAGCAAGTGGAAAAGGAGGCAGCTCTGGGTGAAGCACACGGTGGAAAATCCCAGGAGGGTTGGGACTGAGGGAAAATGCCTTGAGTGGGATGGGGCTGCAGAGCAGGAGCAGAACATGTCTGCTGCCACAGGGGAGATTTGTACAATTCTCAAAAAAAATGAAACCCAAAAAACTGCATTTGAAGACACCCAGGGAGAGCTGGGTCACCTCCACATGGGAATGGGGACAGGAGATGGATTTACTGACAATGAAAGATGCAAGAGAAGATGGATTATTAATGGCTCTAAATTCTGGGTGGATAATTCTCCCTAAAAGCCCAACCAGGCAGAGATTTTTACACTGCCCAGGTGAAAGAACTCGAAAATATCCCTAAAGCTCACAAAGCTTTTCAACAAAACTCCTTAGTTCTGTTTTTATTCCACACAAATGCAAGCCAGGCAGCCAAATTAATCCTAATTAACCTGATTAGGTTTATTGCAGGGCTAAGAATCATTCACTGGTACCACAAGGGGTTTTTTCCCCCTGTCTCTCTAGAATCCCCTTTGTGCACCTGCTTTTAACATCACCCTGATGAGAGCACATCCCAGTACAATTCCATTATGGCTGGGAGAGGTTTCATCCATCCACTGAAATTCAGGGAATAAATGCAAAACCATGCACATTATGTGCTCTCTGCAGGGATATTTAAAGCTTTTCCCCTCAAAGTAAATCAGTTTTATGTCGTTAAAGCCCTTGAAAATATCAAGCTGCAAGGCTTTGCTCCCAGAACTTTCTTTCCTTTCAGTTTCTCGTGACTCTGGGGAAGGCAGGTCACGGGGAATTGGCATTTCCCACTGGAGCTCACCCCTGGAGCCAAACTCTGGTGCCTCAGTTTCCCCCGGAATGTGGGCATGGCGTTTCAGAGGTGCTGAAATTCCTAATCCATGATCATTTCTAGGAAGTGTGAGGTGAAAAACAAGCAGGAATTTTTATGTTTGTTTAAATTTAAACTTCCAGAACCAGTGGATGGCAGAGGGAAAGCCTAAAACCAAAAATGCTCTGACAAACACAAGAGCAAAGCCCGGATTCAGACTCCTCCTGAGGGAAAAACAAATTAATTCATTCTATTTGCACCTGATCACCTCTGGGGCCCTGGGTTTGTTTTTATTTCTTATTTGCTAAGCCCTGACAGTCACAGGGACACCAGCAGTGCCTGCCCACTGGATTTTGTCCCTGTGGGCAGCCTGTGGCTCTGCCCCTTCACATTATAAATATAAATCTGGTCCATAATAAAGCTTTTATTCCTCAGAAAGTCACAAATCCCAGAATTCTTGCCATCTCCACCAAAATGAACCTGCATAGACACAGGTACAATCATTCAGTGTTGGAGAGAAGGCAAAATTCCAAGGATTTAGAGCATCCAGTGGACACCCAGAGCTGCTTTAAATCCATGAAATAAACCCTGTTTGCATTTCTGCCCTCGGGGTCTCGGCCCCAAACTCTCCTTGAGGAATGAGGGTTGGCAAAGGGCATCTCTGAGGGCCCCGTGGCAGGTGGGGAGTGAAGGAAAAGCCAAAACTCCCCAGTAGAAAAGTTGAATTTCTGCTTTTCTAAGAATGGTTTGGGTTGGAAGAGAAATGAAACCCATCCACTTCCAGCCCAGGGACGCCTTCAACTGCTCCAGCCTTGGGCACTGCCAGGGATCCAGGGGCAGCCACAGCTGCTCTGGGCACCTGGGGGAGCCCAAACCTCTCCACAAGGCCCTGCCAGGTACAACCCCCCCTGCATTTTCCAGTGGGGAATAGCACTGGGGGACCTGGAACCACCCAGGAAATCATTATTTCCTTTCCTTTATCCCTTTGGTGCAATGGTTTTGGGTCTTGGTTCTCATCCTTGATTCAGGAATCTGAATCCCAGAGTGGTTTGGGTGGGAGGGGATCTTCAATCCCAGCTCATCCCACCCCAGGGACCCCTCCCACTGTCCCAGGAGCTCCAGCCCCAGTGTCCAGCCTGGCCTTGGGCACTGCCAGGGATCCAGGGGCAGCCCCAGCTGCTCTGGCAATTCCAGCCCAGCCCCTGCCCACCCTGCCAGGGAACAATTCCCAATTCCCAAAACCCAACCAACCCCCAAATCACAGTCGCTTCCCTGTCACACTCCAAACCCTGTGCAGAACCAGGCCGTGACACCAAAAATAAACTGATTTTTCATCACAAAAGTTCCAAGCTGATGAAATCCCCTCCGTGGGACACAAATCCCAGCAGCCTGAGGAGCTGTGCTCCATTTTGCACCTTCTGGACCCTTTGCAAGGAAAATCAGGCATTTTCAGAGTGCCCCCAGGATATATCCTGAGATGGAAGGGACCCACCAGGATCATCAAATCCAATTCCACAATGCCAAAGGGAAAATGGGAGCTCCAGCACAGGCTGGTACCTTTAAAATGCATTTGGATGATGGAAAATAAGATTTTTCTTACTAAAATTGCTGCAGATACCAGGCTGGGACAGGCTGCAGGTACTTCAGAGGCCAGGATTAGGAGTCAAAATGGTCTTGATAAATTGTAGAAATGGTCTGGAAGAAACAAGAAAAAAAAAGAAAAAGACACTTCAGGGATGACAGGGGAATTGGTGAGGCAGGAAAAATCAATGGCATGGCCACCAGGGAGATAAATTCAGGCTTGAAAGGGTGAGTGTTGGGAAATCTCAGGATTTCCATGGGTCACAAAGTGACCAGGAGCTGAACATAAAATAGTGCAATAAAATAAAACCCAACATTTGCCATGATGCAGAGACAAAATGTCCAACAAATAAACAAAGGGAACTTTCCATCTTTGCATCTCTTTGGCCCCTCTGAGGTTCTGGTTGGACATTTCAATCAAATCACAGATAAATTCCCAATGAGGACAAGGAGAATGGTCTGAGGTGGGTGGAGAGAGCAAAGACTGGAAATCCAGAGAGGAAAATCAGATTTATGGCACCATTATGGTTGGACATTTCAGTCAAATCCCAGATAAATTCCCCAAGGAGAATGATCCGAGATGGATGGAGAGAGCACAGAGTGGAAATCCAGAGAGGAAAATCAGATTTGTGGCATCATTACGGTTAGAAAAGCCCTCCAGGACCATTCAGCCCAACCACAAACCAACACCACCGTGGCCACCACCAAGCCACATCCCCAAATGTCACACCCAGGTGTTTGTTGGACATTCTCAGGGATGGGTATCGGAACTCAAAATGTCCCTCAGACATTTTTGGAGGTTCCGGGCCCAGGTCAGAAGCATTTCAGACCCTGGCAGGCAGCTGGAAACAGCTGTGATTTTGGGTTTGAACCATGGAATGAGTTACCAACCTTGCAGGAAGAACAAGAAGTCACAAAAGTTTAGATATTACAGTAGAAGTAGTCACAAAGTAGAGGGAAGAATTTCTGAGTGCTGTACCAGGGGGGTTTTGGTTTTGTACATGGGGATCAGAGGTTTTAAGATGGAGGGATTTGGGCCTGCCCTGTCCTCCCTCTTTCTTCTTCCTTCCCTCCATGTTCTTGGTGATGTTGGCACTCACAGATTGGTTTAGAGTAGAAAAGCACCATTTAATATAGGTAATGGGCATTGGGGAAAAACTGTACCCATGTAACACGTAATGTACCATATAAAAGATAGAAAAGCACCATTTAATATAGGTAATGGGCACTGGGGAAAAACTGTACCCATGTAACACGTAATGTCCCATATAAAAGACAGCAGCAGCCCTGGGCAGAGGGGGAGAGAAGAAGCAGTCGGGAGTCAGAGAGGATGTCAGGGTGTGTGTGTGCCTCTGCCTGAGCTGTGAGCAAACCACAGCAGCCCCAGAAGAAAATCTTTTAGATAACTTGCAATAAACTGCCTTGAGACCAAACAAGAGACTGCTGAGCCTTTCTTTGGAAGCACGGGTTGGAGGAGAGACTTTTCCACCACACGGAGCCACCCCTGACCCAGGGTGGGCTTCGACTCACATTCCCAGCATGGGGATTCATTCTGAGTGAAGACCACAGGAGGAATCTCCCTGGCCTTCAAACCCACCCCGAGGGACACCACAGGAAGGGATAAATCCCCTTTAGGGTTTGTCAGGGTATCACAGCCCTAAACTGCAGCAGGGATCCCAGGCTGGACACCAGGAGGTGTTTCCTGAGTGGGAATTCAAGGAATTCAAGAGTTCTCCAACACCTGCATCAGGGAATTTAAGGCACAGCCCACCAGGAGGTGGCTCTGCCTTGGACTCCTAATTTAATTTCTTTCCAAGGGTAGAAAACCCCCTTAGGAAGCAACTCAGTGGCTCAATTACCCAAGTTAATTAACCAAATTAACAGCTGGGGCCGTGGCCCCTCCAGCACATCATCCACACAGGCAGAGGGATCTGTCTGCACAGGGGAAAGAAGTCAAATTCCACCAATTTTGTGGAGAAGAAAAGCAGAGATTGAAGAGACCAAGACGTGCCACCATCACCCAGAGGGGATCAATGGAGGGGGAGCCCCGTCCACTGGAATAATCCCCAAATGACCCCTTTAATTAGAAAAAAAATAAAAATATTCAACTCAGATATTCGCAGGCGCCCCGCATGCGACAGGATCTCAAACCAGTTTCATTTTTTGCACCAGTGTGACTTGCCACAGCGCAGGCAAAATCTTCCTTTGCAGGTGGAAGGCTGAGCAGAGCTGCTCTGATTCCTCAGCAGGAACCTGGCTGGGGCTGGGGCCAGGGGGCTCCCGAGGGCCTGCCAGGATTTTTGGCATTTCCACAAAGCCCAAAAAGAGATCCAGAGTGGGCTCTGCTCCCCCAGGCTGCCACAGGTCCCTCCCTGGGCTGGCAGAGGGGTCCCAGCTCCGTTTGGGGACACTTTAAGCCGGGCTTGTCACCAACAAAATCTTCCTTGGGCACAGCCGGGAAAAGGTTCTGGGAAGTTCTGGGATTTTCACAGGAATCTCAAGAGGTCAAAAGGAACCTCCCAGCATCACCCAGGCACAGAGCAGCTGCCTCTGGATCCCTGGAGAGCCCAAGGCCAGGCTGGACAATGGGTTTGGAGCACCTGGGACAGTGGGAGGCGTCCCTGCCATGGACACTGGGTGGGATTTAAGGTCCCTTCCAGCCATAATTCCATAATTCTGTGCTTCCCGCCCCTATGGTTTGAGTTTTGCCTCACTTCCAGGGATGGAGCAGTCCCAGCTGCTCTGGGAATTCCATCCCAACCCCTCCCCATCCTTCCAGGGAACAATTCCCAATTCCCAAAACCCAACCAACCCCCAAATCACAGTCGCTTCCCTGTCACACTCCAAACCCTGCGCAGAACCAGGCCCTGACACCACAAATAAACTGATTTTTCATCACAAACATTCCAGGCTGATGAAATCCCCTCCGTGGAACACAAATCCCAGCAGCCTGAGGAGCTGTGCTCCATTCTGCACCTTCTGGTCCTTTTGCAAGGAAAATGAGGCATTTTCAGAGTGCCCCCAGGGTTTGCTGCCCCCAGAGCCCTGTGACCTCGCCAGGCCTCCCCAGCCACAGCAGGATCTGGAATGTCTACATTTTTCCTAGAAAATATTTTCCAGGAAAAATATTGATAATATTTTCTGAAAATATCAATGTTTTCCTGGAAATCTGGAGGGGAATCCAGGACTGGGCTGCCCTGCCCACCAGGAGCAGCCACATCAGGGCTCCCAGCCTGGGAGGGGATGGAAGTTTGGGACTGAAATCTGTGGACAGAGCACTGAAGATGCCAAAAACTCCCCTGGGCAACCCCAGCCGGTGGGCAGGAGGATTTCCTTCTCCTGCTGCCCTCTGTCCATGCCTGGGATGGGATGGGATGGGATGGGATGGGATGGGATGGGATGGGATGGGATGGGATGGGATGGGATGGGATGGGATGGGATGGGATGATGGGATGGGAAGATCCTGAACCATTCCATGATCACCAAGCCCTCGCTGCCACCTGGCTGTGGAGAGCCTGGGAGAGCTCAGTGCCAGAAGAGGCTTTTATCACAAGGGAATTTTCGTTTTAACAGCAACATTTTTAAAAAAAAAAATTAATCAGGATGACACTTCAGAAGCACACAGCGGGAGCTGCCCTGGCTGCAGCAGGAATTTCTGTCCCATCCCTCCCCGGCTGCTGAGGCTTCCCCAGCCACAAGAACACTTGGAAATGACTGCTGGCCTTGCTGGTGGACAAACATCCCAGCATTTCCTTCTGCATTTCTGTAACAAGTGAAGCTCCAGCCTGGTTCAGCCACAGGCACAGCCAGGCTCCTGCTGCTCAGCTCCAGCTTAACTGGGAGGCATCGACCCCTCCTGGGCTTGGAACAAAGAATTTTAGGTTAAAAAGGAAAAAAAAATAACAAAAAGGGAGCAGTGCAGGCACTGGAGATGAAGCAGCTTTGGAACCTCTTTTATCAGGGCAGCTCCCACCTCTAGGCTGGAGTTAGAAATTTATATCCCAGCCACGGATTCCCAAAAATTCCTCTCACCCTCCTGAGCCAGGGCAGGGGGGCAGCTCCTGGGAGCTCCTCCGGGTGTCCTGGGGGCTGGTGGCACTGCCAGCCCCAGTGTCCAGCCTGGCCTGGGACAGCCCCAGGGATGCAGGGGCAGCCACAGCTGCTGCTGTCCCTGCAGGGAGGTGACAACGGGGCTGCAGCCCACCCTTCTCCCCAGCTTTTCACAGGGACAGGGCCTGGTGCTCTCCTTCCCTTCCAAACCCTGCCCGGCACCTCCTCACTGCCACGGCACGGAGCGACCTCGTGAGGATCTGCAGCCTGAGCAGCTCAGAGGTGCAGATGTGGAGCAGAACCCAGAGAAATTCCCTTTGCCCAGCAGAACCCAGAGAAATTCCCTTTGCCCAGGAGAACCCAGAGAAATTCCCTTTGCCCAGGAGAACCCAGAGAAATTCCCTTTGCCCAGGAGAACCCAGAGAAATTCCCTTTGCCCAGCAGAACCCAGAGAAATTCCCTTTGCCCAGCAGAACCTAGAGAAATTCCCTTTGCCCAGCAGAACCCAGAGAAATTCCCTTTGCCCAGCAGAACCTAGAGAAATTCCCTTTGCCCAGGAGAACCCAGAGAAATTCCCTTTGCCCAGGAGAACCCAGAGAAATTCCCTTTGCCCAGGAGAACCCAGAGAAATTCCCTTTGCCCAGCAGAACCCAGAGAAATTCCCTTTGCCCAGCAGAACCCAGAGAAATTCCCTTTGCCCAGCGGCTCTGCCCTGATTCCAGAGCAGCACAAAGCGCTGCAGTCGCTTCTCCCTTCTCATCCCTGCAGCACCTTCAGCTCCAGGTGAGCCTTGCTGCCCTCAGAGCAGCTCCAGGCTTCCCACAGCCCTGGGAGCCTGGGAACGTGGGAACAGCGGGAATGCCGGGCTTGGGAAGGCTGCCTGGCAAATATAGAGCCAAGAGAGCGTTCCCCAGGAGGAGAGGCTGGGACTGCGCCTTCTGCTCCTCCTTTCTCGGGGAATAAGAGTTTCCAAAGGCGTTTGGATGAACAAATCTCTGTTTGGGGCTGAAAGCAGCTCTGACAGCCCAGCTGGGAGCCGGGGCAGTGGCTCTGAGCAGGGCAGGAGCTCGGGATCTCCATCTCCCATCACTGCTGCATCCCAAAAATCCTCCCAGCACAAGAGATGGCCAAGGAAATGAGCAGCTCAACCGTCCAGGCTCCTGAATCACAGCGAAAACCGGGCCCAGCTGAGGTGAAATCCTCAGGAGGTAACAGCACTGAGTGTGGGAATCCAGGGCTTCCCTCTGGCTGCCCTGGCAGGTCTGGGACCCTGGCAGGGGTCAGGAACCCCCCTGGACAGAGCCCCCAGAGACACTGGCTGTGATCTCTGTCCATGCAAAAGAGTTTTCAATCTTACAGGATGAATTACAAGCTCTGAGTGTTTGATATAAGTAATAATTAAGTGTGGCACAGGTGAAAAAGTAAAATTTTAGGATTCTAGATGAGGGGTCCAAAGGGGACAAGATGGAGGAAATTGGGTGTGCCTTGTCCTTTTTCTCCTTCTTCATGCCCTCCATGTTTCACTGTGGTGTTGGCATTTTTCTGTTGGTTCAGGCTGGGGACACACTGTCCAACGTAGGTGACAGATATTGGCACGTTATTGTAAATCCAGCACAGGTAGTTTGTGGTATTTAATGTTTGTACCATCCCACTGAGGGCAGAGCCCCACACGCTGCCCTGCAGGACAGAGCTGCGGCAGGGCAGCAGAACATGTTAGAGATAAACAGAATAAACAGCCTTGAAACCAGCACAGACGAATTATGGCTTCTGCTTTGGCAGTGGGGCTGACAGACAGAGACTTTCTACAATCTTGGGATCATTTAAATACCACAGATTCTGACAACTGAGGAGCCGAATCTCTGCAGTGCCCGTTCACGCACTAAGATGGAGGAAAAGCCCCAAAACTCCCCCATTTCTGTGTGATTTCCCCTGCTGACAGGAAGGAGCTGCAAAGGGCCACTGCTGCTGAGCTGAGCTGCATCCAGTGCTCCTGAGGGTGAGGGGAAAGAGCTCTTCATGAGCCAAAACCAAAACAAAAGTGAATATATTCTGGTGCAGCAAGTGCAGCATCCTCAAAGCTTTGCTCCCCACACCACCGAGAGTGAAATCAGAGATTTTTTTTTTAATTTTTCTTTCTCAGTAATGCTTTTTGCTCATTTCCTGCCCGGCCTCTTGTGCTCTGAGCAATGAATCAGGATGAATTAACATCAGATTAGGATCACGCCTAAGCAGAACTTTGCTGTCATCTTCCAGGGAATTAAACCAAGGCTTTGTCATGCTGGGCTGACCACGAGGGTGGGAGCAGTCCCAGCCTCTCCTCCTGGGGAACGCTCTCTTGGCTCTTTATTTGCCAGGCAGCCTTCCCAAGCCCGGCATTCCCGCTGTTCCCACGTTCCCAGGCTCCCAGGGCTGTGGGGAAGCCTGGAGCTGCTCTGAGGGCAGCAAGGCTCACCTGGAGCTGAAGGGGCTGCAGGGATGAGAAGGGAGAAGAGACTGCAGCGCTTTGTGCTGCTCTGGAGTCAGGGCAGAGCCGCTGGGCAAAGGGAATTTCTCTGGGTTCTGCTGGGCAAAGGGAATTTCTCTGGGTTCTGCTGGGCAAAGGGAATTTCTCTGGGTTCTGTTCCACATCTGCACCTCTGAGCTGCTCAGGCTGCAGATCCTCACGAGGTCGCTCCGTGCCGTGGCAGTGAGGAGGTGCCGGGCAGGGTTTGGAAGGGAAGGAGAGCACCAGGCCCTGTCCCTGTGAAAAGCTGGGGTGAAGGGTGGGCTGCAGCCCCATTGTCACCTCCCTGCAGGGACAGCAGCAGCTGTGGCCGCCCCTGCATCCCTGGGGCTGTCCCAGGCCAGGCTGGACACTGGGGCTGGCAGTGCCACCAGGGAAAGTGTCCCTGCCCATGGAACAACATGAGTTTTAAAGTCCCTTCTTTTAAAAACCCAAATAATTCCAGGATTCTGTGATGTGGCTCCTCAGAGCAGCACCTCCAACCTCCCCATGGGTCCATGAAATTGGAAACTCCAGGGATGTCCTGACATCAAGACCCCCAAGGGATCCTCATCCCCTTTTCCCAAGGTTTGAGAGCACAATCCAAACATGAGGCCCTCAAAATAAATCTGCTTTGGAGCACCTGAGTGCCTGTGGCAGCTGCTGTTCATTCATTCCCCCACAGCCACGCTAAGAGAGCACCAAAACTAAGGGAAAAATTATTCCTGTGACCCACTCCTGCTGCTCCTTGGGTTTATTTTACCCAAAAATTCTTATTTAATATATTATATGATAATATCATATTTATTTTGGGTTGTTCAGGCTGATTTCTGCCTTTAGAAATGGCTCAGAGCAGCAAGGAGAGTCACAGGCAGGGGAAGCACGAGGCGCTTCGAGGTTTTGGCACTTCTGCAGAGGAAAAGTTCTCTGCTGCTCTAAAGGAAGTGGAGAGAGGCTGTGAACTGAGATTGAACCAGCAGCTCTTGAGGATGCAATCAGTCAGAGAGAAGAGGGAAAAAAAAAAAACCACCAAAATGTCTTTGCAGAACATTGGCCATTAGCTCCATCTGCGAGCAGAAAATGGCACCGAGGTGCAGAGTCCAGCAGGAAATCAGATGCTCAAACCTGTGCCCTAACGACTCGTTCGGGTAAAAATCCTTTGCTTCATCTTCCCCAGTGGTGAAAAATGAAAAGTTTCACTCTGCAGCCCCCAAAATGGGAATATCCAGGCTCCTCCCCAGAGCTCAGAGCCAGGAGGGGCCCAGCAGCCTCCCAGCCCAGCAGGGCACGGGGCAGGGGACACCTCCTGTGCTGCTCTGTGCTCTCACTGGGGCCAAACTGGGATTTCTGGGGGGGTTTAAGGCTTTATGAGCTGGAAAAACACAGGGAAGTGTGGAACTGCTGAAAGGGATCAGGGGAGATCCAGAGCTGGAGCCAGGCTGGAGAGCTGGGGGTGCTCCCCTGGAGAGGAGAAGCTCCAGGGAGAGCTCAGAGCCCCTGCAGGGCCTGAAGGGGCTCCAGGAGAGCTGCAGAGGGACTGGGGACAAGGATGGAGGGACAGGACACAGGGAATGGCTCCCAGTGCCAGAGGGCAGGGCTGGATGGGAGATTGGGAATTGGGAATTGTTCCCTGGCAGGGTGGGCAGGGGCTGGGCTGGAATTGCCAGAGCAGCTGTGGCTGCCCCTGGATCCCTGGCAGTGCCCAAGGCCAGGCTGGGCACTGGGGCTGGAGCAGCTGGGACACTGGGAGGGGTCCCTGGGGTGGGATGAGCTGGGATTGAAGATCCCCTCCCACCCAAACCACTCTGGGATTCAGATTCCCGAATCAAGTATGAGAACCAGGACCAAAAACCATTGCACCAAAGGGATAAGGAAAGGAAATAATGATTTCCTGGATGGTTCCAGGTCCCCCAGTGCTGTTCCCCACTGGAAAATGCAGCGGGGTTTGTGCCTGGCAGGGCCTTGTGGAGAGGTTTGGGCTCTCCCAGGTGCCCAGAGCAGCTGTGGCTGCCCCTGGAGCCCTGGCAGTGCCCAAGGCCAGGCTGGACACTGGGGCTGGGAGCTCCTGGGACAGTGGGAGGGGTCCCTGCCATGGCAGGGGTGGCACTGGGTGGGATTTAAGGCAATTCCAACCCAAACCATCCCAGGGCTCTGTGACAAATCCTTCCTCACCGAGCTGAGCTCTCCCAGCTGGGCAGCAGCAGCTCAGTCCCCACGGCTGAACCCCTCAGCATTCCCCTCTCCTGCTGGAGCAGCTCCCACATTTTGGCCATTTCTGTCCCACCACTCCTTTTCTCCTTTCCCTCCACCCTCCTCATCTGGAGCATCTCCTTGAGCAATTCTAATTTTAACTCCACTCATGCCACCAACTCCATTTATATGAAGCGCAGCTGAATTTTTTTTGGGGGGGAGGTTGGGTTTTTTTTTTTTCCCCTTATCAGAGAGATTTCAAAACCCAAAAAGCATTGAATTCTCCTGTGTGCACAGAGGTTGTGCTGCACTTTTGCTGGATGACAGCAGAGAACCACAAGTGCAGAGCCCCGGGGAGGCCAGGGGCTGATGCAAACGGAAAACAAGGCAGCCAAAGGAAGTCGTTCTGTCGGCCTTTGTTCTTTCAGGGGCTTTTTGGGGTGGCTTCTTTCCATAGAAAGTTTCCACTGCAGTTTTTGAAATGAAACCTGGGTGTATTTTTTGCCCTCAGAGCAGTGAGGTCAAACAGGAGGAGCGGGGCTGAGAGTCAGAGAAGCAGCACAGAGCTGAGCCCGGGGGTGTGGAGCAGAGTGAGAGCACAAGGAACACCCCAAAACCATCCCTGGGGCATCTTCTGAAACTAAAACCTGGCAAAAGGTCAAGATATCATCCAGGAAAGGCACTGGAGAGGTTTTAGCGGGGACAGGACTTTCAGGGTGCAATGAGAGGCAGACCTGCACAGGCAGAATTCCTTGGTGGGACGGAGAAAAGTGGAAAAGAACACCAGGAAAAGTGGAATTAACACCAGGAAAAGTGGAGGGAACGCCAGGAAGAGTGGAGGGAACACCAGGAAAAGTGAAAACCAGGAAGAGTAGGATGAATACAAGGAAAAGTGGAGGGAACACCAAGAAAAGTGGATGGAACTCCAGGAAAAGCGGAAAGAAAATCAGGAAAAGTGGAATTAACACCAAGAAAAGTGGGAAGAACACCAAGAAAAGTGGATGGAACTCCAGGAAAAGTGGAATTAACACCAAGAAAAGTGGGAAGAACATGAGGAAGAGTTCAGGGAACACCAGGAAAAGTGGAGTGAACACCAGGAAAAGTGGGAAGAACACCAGGAAAAGTGGAATTAACACCAGGAAGAGTAGGATGAATACAAGGAAAAGTGAAAGGAACATCAGGAAAAGTGGAAAGAACCCCAGGAAAAGTGGAATTAACTCCAGGAAAAGTGGACGGAACACCAGGAAGAGTAGAGGGAACACCAGGAAAAGTGAAAACCAGGAAGAGTAGGATGAATACAAGGAAAAGTGGGAAGAACACCAAGAAAAGTGGATGGAACTCCAGGAAAAGCGGAAAGAAAATCAGGAAAAGTGGAATTAACACCAAGAAAAGTGGGAAGAACACCACAAAGAGTGGAGGGAACACCAGGAAAAGTGGAGGGAACACCAGGAAAAGTGGAATTTCTCCAAGAAAGGTGGAGGGAACACCAGGAAAACTGAACACCAGGAAGAGTGGGATGAATACAAGGAAAAGTGGGAAGAACACCAAGAAAAGTGGATGGAACTCCAGGAAAAGTGGAATTAACACCAAGAAAAGTGGGAAGAACACGAGGAAGAGTTCAGGGAACACCAGGAAAAGTGGAGTGAACACCAGGAAAAGTGGGAAGAACACCAGGAAAAGTGGAGGGAATCCCAGGAAAAGTGGAGTGAACATCAGGAAAAATGGAAATTACACCAGGAAGAGTGGAAATTACACCAGGAAAAGTGGAGTGAACATCAGGAAAAATGGAAATTACACCAGGAAAAGTGGAATTAACACCAGGAAGAGTAGGATGAATACAAGGAAAAGTGAAAGGAACATCAGGAAAAGTGGAAAGAACACCAGGAAAAGTGGAGTGAACATCAGGAAAAATGGAAATTACACCATGAAAAGTGGAATTAACACCAGGAAGAGTGAGATAAATACAAGGAAAAGTGAAAGGAACATCAGGAAAAGTGGAAAGAACCCCAGGAAAAGTGAACACCGAGGAAAAGGGGAGTGAACATCAGGAAAAGGGGAGGGAACCCCATGAAATCCCTCCACAAGGGCTCATCCCATCCCCTGGAGGCTGCACACGCTTCCCCACGCTGTCAGCTCCGATCCCGCCTTTCCAGGATGCGGAATTTCACGGAATCCCCTCAATTTTGAGCTCTGGGGAGCTCAGCCATGGGGGAAAAACAAAAGCCTGCAAAATTCAACCTCTGCCAGAACTTCCAACCCCTCAGCCTGAGAATCCGGGGAGCTGGGGAGGAATCCAGGGGATTTGGGATGCTCCAGGGAATTTGGGGATGTTCCAGGGAATTTGGGGATGCTCCAGATGATTTGGGGATTCTTCAGGGGATTTGGGGATTCTCCAGGAGTTCTGGGGATTCTCCAGGGGTTTTGGGGATGTTCCAGGGGATTTGGAATACTGGGAAGAGTGTTCCAATACCTCCAGGGGCTCTGGGGATGCTCCAGAGGATTTGGGGATGCTCCAATGGTTTGGGGGATGCCTCTGGAGCATTTGGGGATGCTCCCAGGGGTTTTGGAGATGCTCCAGGGGATTTGGGATGCTCCAGGGGATTTGGGAATGCTCCAGGGGTTCTGGTGATGCTCCAGAAGATTTGGGGATACTCCAGGGGATTTGGGGATGCTCCAGGAATTTGGGGGATGCTCCAGAAGATTTGGGGATACTCCAGGGGTTTGGGGATGCTCCAGGGGTTTGGGGATGCTCCAGAAGATTTGGGGATACTCCAGGGGTTTGGGGATGCTCCAGGGAATTTGGGGATGCTCCAGGGGTTAAATAAAAAAGGGAGTTAAATTTTTTTAAAAATGAGTTAAATTTTAATAAGGGGTTAAACTGAAAAGGGGGTTAAATTTTAAAAGGGGTTAAATAAAAAAAGGGAGTTAAATAAAAAGAGTTAAATAAAAAAGTGGTTAGATAAAAAGGGGTTAAATTACAAACGGGGTTAAATAAAAAAGATGTAAAATTAAAGACGGGGTTAAATAAAAAAACGGGGTTAAATTAAAAAAAAAAAAAGGGGGGGGGTTAAATTTTCCAGAAGGGGGTTAAATAACGCGGCCAGCCCGGGGTTCTGCTGGAAAAACGACTCACAGCAAGGATGGCAACAAAGCAGCGCCATAAAATATTGAAGCGGCTCGGAGTGCCGGGGCTGGAGAACAAAACCCGGCCCGCCGCGCTCCTTCCCCGCAAATTACCGCCCCGCGTTAATTAACATTTCATCACCGCCATCCCCAGCGGCTCCTCCTGGGATGGGCTGGAGCGGCGGGGAAAGGGCTCGGAGGGAGGGAGGGAAATGGGGGAGAGGGTTTGGGGTGGGATGTGGCGCTGGGGTTCTGTGGGGACTGCTGATATATCCTAGAATGTCAACATTTCCAATCGTAAATCCTAAAATCCCAAGTGGGTTTGGGATGGAAGGAGCCTCAAGTCATCCCCACCCATGGCAGGGACCCCTCCCACTGTCCCAGCTGCTCCAGCCCCAATGTCCAGCCTGGCCTTGGGCACTGCCAGGGATCCAGGGGCAGCCACAGCTGCTCTGGGAATTCCAGCCCAGCCCCTCCCCACCCTGCCAGGGAACAATTCCCAATTCCCAATCTCCCACCCAGCCCTGCCCTCTGGCACTGGGAGCCATTCCCTGTGTCCTGTCCCTCCATCCTTGTCCCCAGTCCCTCTGCAGCTCTCCTGGAGCCCCTTCAGGCCCTGCAGGGGCTCTGAGCTCTCCCTGGAGCTTCTCCTCTCCAGGGCAGCACCCCCAGCTCTCCCAGCCCGGCCCTTAAGGAGCAAGGGACCCAAGAACTGGATTCAGGAGTTCCCCTGGCCACTTTCACTCCATAAAGGCCCAAATTCACCCTTTTATTTCCTCTGGCAGAGACCCTTTAGGTGCAATCCCAGCCCTGCAGGAGGCTCTGGACACCCAGTGGAGAATCTTTAATGATCTGTGCTGGTTTTGCCTTCCTGCTCCCAGTTTGGCACTGGGCAGCCCCAGGGGCTGCAGGGACAGGCCCTGGTGCTGGCAGGGCTGGAGCACAGTCCCCCAGAGCTGCTCTGAGAACTCCACCCTGCCAACACCCTGCAGAGCTCCAGCTGGAGGCGGGACAGGAGCACAGAATCATCTTTTCCCCTGCCCTGCATCTTTTTTTTTTTTTTTTTTTTCTGGTGCCTTCTGTAGAACCAAGTGTAAAAAAAACCCACGAGAGTGAGAAACTCAGCAGCTCTGGGGCTTGCACAGGAATCCCATCCATCCCAGAGGCTCTGGAAGTGACCAGAGGTCCCCTAAGTGCCCCTGGCTGCAAGGGAGGAAGAAAATCCCACAAATATCTCTGAGGTGTCTCCTTCTGGGTCACAGCAATCCTGAAGCCAGAAGCCAAACCACACAGGCAGGGAAGGAAACAGCCACAACCATGAAAACTAATGCTGGATCACACCAGATTACCCTAAATGTCAGTACCCTGCTGCCCAGCCACCCTTAATCCTTAAAAAAAAAGGAAGAAAAGCTGAAAAACAAGAGCAAACATCCTCAGCTTCTGCTCTTAGGGAAGCTCCCTGCAGGAAGCCCTGGAGCAGAAGGTCCACGGAAAGCAGAATTTTCCTGCTGGGCTACAAATGAGCTGAGATGCTGAGGAGGAGAATCCAACACATCCCTGGCCACAGCTGGAGGAAAAAGAGAGGCAGGAGGGATTCACAGCATCCTCTGTCCTGCTCAGAGCCCTGGGGAAAGCAGCAATTTGGGATGAAAGTCCTGGAAAAGCTGGAGGAGCCAGGGGCAGAGGAGGTGTCTGGTGCCTCGGGGGTTAAGGCAGGCACAGCCCCGAGCAGAGCTGCAATCCCCCTGGAGCAGAGCTCCAAACCTCCCTCCCGAGGTGTCCGGGGAGGCTTCACCCCCGAGCAGCTCCCGGGGCAGGCAGAGCCGGAGGGGGATGCATGCAGAATTAAAAGCTGGATAAATAATTCATTGCTGAGCTCATCAGATTGGAGGAATGTGTCCCTGGCTCTCCAGGCCAGCGGGACGAGGTGAATTCCTGCCCTGGGTGCCACATCCCCCTGTGGCCATCAGTCCCCTGGGTGTCACATCCCTGGGTGCCCAGCAGCCACCCCCGCAGGGCTGGCACAGCCTGAGCAGTGCTAAACCAACTGAGAGCCCCCAGAGAGCCCAAAATAAAGTGAGAGGCGACTCGGAGTCACTTACGAAGGTAATTATTGAAGGTAATTAGTACAATTAAATGATGAAGGTAATTATTGAAATGCAGACCGTCAAATACCTACAGCAGGGACAAAGCCTTTCCTCTGTTCTCAGTGACAAAGAGCCCTCGAAAGTGGCACAAATCAACCGCCCCGGGAAAGGCTCCAAACGCCCCGGGAAAGGCTCCAAACGCCCTGGGAAAGGCTCCAAACACCCCAGGAAAGGCACCAAGAGCCCCAGGAAAGGCTCCAAACACCCCAAGAAAGGCTTCAAATGCCCCGGGAAAGGCTCCAAATGCCCCAGGAAAGGCTCCAAACGCCCCAGGAAAGGCTCCAAATGCCCCAGGAAAGGCTCCAAATGCCCCAGGAAAGGCTCCAAATGCCCCAGGAAAGGCTCCAAACACCCCAGGAAAAGCTCCAAATGCCCCAGGAAAGGCTCCAAACGCCCCAGGAAAGGCTCCAAGAGCCCCAGGAAAGGTTTCAAGAGCCCCAGGAAAGGCTCCAAACGCCCCAGGAAAGGCTCCAAACGCCCCAGGAAAGGCACCAAACACCCCAGGAAAGGCACCAAACACCCCGGGAAAGGCTCCAAACACCCCGGGAAAGGCTCCAAACACCCCAGGAAAGGCTCCAAACACCCCAGGAAAGGCTCCAAACACCCCGGGAAAGGCACCAAGAGCCAGTGATCCACAGCTCATCTGGGATCAGGGTGGGATCCAGTGATCCCCAGCTCATTGTGAGCAGGAGAAATGATGGTATCCGGTGATCCACAGCTCCCTGTGAGCAGGATGGGATCCAGTGATCCACAGCTCATCTGAGAGCTGGGAAAGCCACGGGATCCAGTGATCCACAGATCATCTGGGATCAGGATGGTATCCAGTGATCCACAGCTCCCTGTGAGCAGAATGGGATTCAGTGATCCACAGCTCATCTTTGATCAGGAGAACCAATGGGATCCAGTGATCCACAGCTCCCTGTGAGAGGAAGGGATCCAGTGATCCACAGCTCCCAGCAGTGGCCCTGTCCAGCCTCAGGGCTGGGGCAGATCTGCAGGAATCTGATCCCCCAGTGTAGGAAGGACAACCAGCGCAGAAATTTTGGGTTTATTCTCCATTCATGGTGAAATTGAGCAGCCCAGGCTGCAGCTTAGTGAGGGTTAATAAAGTGCTCAGGTGGGACCTCTCTGCTTCGTGCTGCTCCTGCAGGATGGGTTTGGTCCTCTCTGGAGAACCTTCCCCAGTTTCTGAGCACTGTTTGACCCCGTTATGCAGAAATTCCAGGGGTTCTGGGAGGAAAAGCCGACGCCTGTGGGGCACGGGGAGGATCCCTTGGGGTACCACAGCCATGGTGGTGCCACCTCCGAGCCGGGCTCAGCTCCCAGCTCTGGTCCATGCACACAGGAGCACAAAGCCTTTTCTGCCAGCTGGGCCAGATTCGAACCCCGCAGGCAGCAGAGCGTGGCCACGGCACCGAATTCATCCCGAACCCCAAAGCTCCAGCCCGGGGACACTGCAAAGCAGCCAACACCTCAGCTGGCACTGCCCCTT